GAATTCGTTTTTAATCCCTGCATGATTTTAGTCATACATGATAAATATCAAATACGTTATAGCTTGACTACAAGTTTAAAAACAACGCTGCAATTGTTATAATTAAGGAAATTAACTTACCATCATGAAATGTGTCTACACCGGCGATAATGCCAAAAAGAAAGAGAAACGTCGGAAAATAAGCACATTTTATTCAAGACATTATTATATGACATCAACATGCATTTATCATTCTTACAATCACCGCCAGAATGTCCAACTTCACCATGATGAACTTAAAATTGGGTTCTATTATTTTTCCGCAATAGTTCTCCTCACAAAACGAAATTCATTTCAAACACAAATTTGATAAGAACAGAGCGGACATTACTAGCAACACCAAAATAACAGCAAAGCTAATGTTTTCTGTTAGTTTAAGCACAAACTAAGAAAAGTAAAACCAAACTTTGTGGCAATAATTAAGACCAAACTGAACATGGTGTGTGTTTATGGTGCATGTCGGCAATGTTGTCTCGGCAGGGGCGGGGCGTGGTGGAGGTGAGGCTTAGGTAGACGATATTATCGGATATCGCGATATTTTTAAAGCCCTTATCTGTTGTCAATTGTGCTGCAATGCATGTGGTGACCGAATGAAATTTCAACATACAATGGTAAGCAAACCTTTCCAATGTGATTATGTAATACATGAAGTTTTTGATGCACATCGCAGAGCTAGTGCAAGACGAGCATTTGCGGTTAAAAAGTATATAATTTTTTTTTAGAAAATGACTGACCGTTTCGATAGATAAGACCCTTATTCCTCGGCTGGGATCATGTGGAGCCCTGTGAAGCTGCACTGAAACTGCAATTTGGACCTTCAAACAATGGGCCCTGTTGAAGTCCACTATTTGGAGAAAAATCCTTGAATGTTTTCCTCAAAAACAATTTCTTTTCGACTGAAGAAAGAAAGACATGAACATCTTGGATGACATGGGAGTGAGTAAATTATCAGGAAATTTTTATTCTGGAAATGAACTAATTTAATATCTGTCCTACAGATAATGGCAAAATTTTGTTTCAAATGTTTAGAAACATTACATTTTGTTATTGTTAATTTGTTCATTAACAATAATTTCTATTAATAAAATAAAAAATAATGAATAACATGTTTTAATGTTGTAATCTAATAACTTAGTTATCACCGTGTCAAAAAAACTGGGGAAAAAAATCAAATCAAATCAATGTCAATCAAGTATAGGTTTCAGGCATGAAAGTCAATGTCTAATATGTAAAGTACTACTGCTTATCTACAATTTCATACGCCCATGTTCACGAATGACATCCAAGTGTTTACAAGCATCTGATTCTCATTGGTTCAAGAAACAATGATTTTGAGACGAACGGGGGGGTTGAATGCTGAGGGAGAGGCTCATGTGAGCAACACATTTCAGTCTCAGACAAGTCTCAGCCTGCTGCTCAGACATCTCACAGCCAAATCACTCGTTTCCTTTTCTTTCTTTTTTTCCCCAAAGAAAATCAGAGGGATCAGATCGCTTTGCCTTGACGTATCAGTTCATCAAATGGATTGGCTGAAGTAACATAGTTCTAAGAGCTATGTGAAATATTAGAATCAAATGTAATTTTCTGAAGGAAATTTGAGTGGTGTGAACAACATCACCGACATTGTGAGTGATTGCCAGAATGTTGCTATGTGGCTGCGAAGGAGTTCTGAGTGACTTTTTGCATGTTGCTAGATGGTCACTAGGGCATTCTGGGTCATTGCCTACTGGCCTGAGTCAAAGGAGGCTGTCTTTATGATATTGAAATTAGTGGATTTTTGGATGGCCAGTGCCGATATCTTAGAAAGCTGGGTGGCCGATTTATACAATATAACAAGATATATATAAATAAATATAGTAAACAACATAAACTTTAGGGCTGTGTATCACCAGCAAAGTCACGATACGATACGTATCACGATACAGAGGCCACGATACGATACGTATCACGGTGCGGGACTGCACTGAATTTCACCTCAGAAGAATTTAGTAAAACAGCTGTTTATGAAACACTGCATACTATAGGGCTGTTGCTAATTATTGGCAGAGCAGGCAGTTGACCTCTGCATTATGAAGGGCCTCCATAACTGTACCACAGTACAATATAGGTAATGGCATATGTTTCATGTTTACATTGGGCACTCCCCACCAGGTACAATATTCAGATTTTTTGCATCTTGTTTTAAGCCCATAAATAATAATGTACTTGTTCTAATAAATTTATATTGTAATGTACTCATTCTAATATATTTAAAAAATAATTTACATTGCTGGTAGGTTATCATTGCACAAATTAACACACTCTCTACAATTAAAAAATAAAAATAAAAATTAGAAGAGTACGTCTCTTTATATCAGGCAACCCCGGTTGTGTTCCTCTGCGGCCAGATTAAACCTTGTTATAGCCTATATATTATGCTCTATTCATTATTTTTTAGAAACCTCGCACTTTTCTGCTCAATTGTAAACGTTGTTCTTGTATT